TTAGATTAAACTAATTAGAATACTCAGATCCCAAATAAAATTATAATTACTAGCTAGTTCTTATACCTAAAATATAATTACTCTTTCTTCTTACTTATTTAGCCCTAATCTAATTAAACTATTTTTATATCTATTATCTAGATTATATTAGTAAAACTATCTCTTAAGATACTAGAAGTTTATCTCAATTAAATAAATAATTAATTAAATATTTACTAGAATAGATTAATAAATCTTAGAAATAAGATCCTAGAAGGGAAATATAATTATAATATATATAGGATTATATATAACTTAAGGGTATATAATAAACCTCGGATATTACAGGTATTAATTAGAGAAATCGGAGGCCCTCTAACTTTATAACTAACTACTATTTATATTATAAGTATTAGGCTTATAAATTACTAATTATATATATATTATTAGAGCCTCCTATTTAGAAGAGGCTTCCCTAGATCTTATAGGAGAAATAGAGATTAGTTCTATACTAAATTTAATACTATAGTTTTATAACTTACTAATTTATTCTATTATCTTATTATTTACTAATAAATACTTTATAGGAAATAAATACTTTTTAATTAGTAAAATATTAAAGAATTTCGAAATAAAAGTCTATTTTAGTAATAAAATAATATTTGAGATATTATTATTTAAATTTATTACTAGTATAACTAGTTATAAATAGTATATATTACGAATTCTAATTATATAAATAGCTAGATCCAAAATAATATATAAAGAAAATAGAGAAATATTACTTAAATTACTATTATAATACTAAAAGCTCGATTTATTAATATAATATTAATAATATAAATAGTTTTTAAAAGAAACTTTTATTAGAATTATTAAAACTTAAGAATTTCATATATCTAAATTATTAAAATATTAGAGTATTATTTATATATTATAAGAGAGAAACTATAATAAAACAAAAACCTATATAAAATATACTAGAATATAAAACGTGACTTAATAATAAAATAATAAATTAAAAGTATAAATAGTAAAATATAAATAATATATAGTATATAAAAGCTTAATTAATTAAATACTTATAAGGAATTATTCTCTAGAACTATAGAAAAACTAGCTTTCTTATATAATTTCTGTAAGTTATATATAAAAGGCCGCAGTCTTTACTATATAACCTAAACCTTAAAACCGCTAAAATAATATAATTTTTAATAAGTATAGCCTATTATACTATAATACTAAATAAGCCGGCTTTTAAAAAGAAATTATTATAAGCTAATTATAATAATTTTATAAATAGGTATTTTAATACTAGTAAGATATTAGAGATTTTCTAGAGAAAGTATTATTAGTAAAATATAAAAAAGAATATAAAAAACTATATTAGAACTTATTTTATATATTAATAAACTAAAATAATTTTTTTTTATTATATAATATATTTAGTTTATTTTCGCTTTCTTCTAAGCTATAATAAGAAATTATTATAAACTTTATTATAGAGCTATTTTTATTTAGGTTTTATAATAAAATATATAATTCTATACTTATTATTATTAATAAATATATAAAAATAATATAATATATTCTAATTACTAAAAGAATTTTGGCTTCTAAATTAATAGAGCTATTTATATATTATATTATTAAAGACTTTAATATACTTATAAATATAATCTTTAATAAAAAATCTATTTTTATAAATAAATTCTAATTAAATTTATATTTCTATTTAAAGATTTAATAATAACTAAATATAGTATTTTACTTATAAACTAATAAATAAATAGAAAATCTAAATTAAAATCTAAAATAGTACTTAAAATACTATATTAGCTATTAGTAAAATAATTAAATAATAAAACTTACTTTTATAGAATTTATATATAATAACTTTATATATTTAATAATAGAAATTTTTTTATTTTATATATTATATAAATTCTATTCTAATATTAAATTATATATTAAGAATAATATTCTAGAAAAAGAAATACTAGTAATATAGGAAAAAATATAAAGAATTTAAATAAAATAAGAAATATTAGAAAAGTAATAATAAAAAATAGTAAATATATAAAAAAAGTATTATTATAAAAAATATATATTAATAAAGAATTTAATATATATAATAAAGTTATATTTTATATAAAGAATATTTAATAGTTATAATTTAATATAAAACTAGTAAATAAATATTTCGGCTTTTTTAAAGTTCTAGAAATTATAGAAATATATAAATAAATATATTATTTGAAATTACTATTATTATATTAGATTTATAATATTTATAAGCTAGTAATATAATAGAACTAGAATTTATTAAAATCGAGAATAAAATGAAATTTAAAATAGAATTTATTATAATTTATAAAAAGAATAAAAAAGAAAAAAAATATCTTATTTATTAGAAAGGCTATTTACTAGTAAATTATATATAGAAACTATTAAATAATTTAAAGAATATAGCTCAAGAATTATAAAAATACTTAAAAAAAAATATTATAATATTATTAGCTAAACGGAAATATAAAAAATAAATACTTTTATTAAAAAACTATTAAAAACTATATATTTATTTTTAGAAAAGCTATATAAAAATTATTAAAAATTCTAAAAACTTTAATTTCTATATTCTATAAATATTTTATTCTTATAATTACTCTTTACTATTCTTATTATTATTCTTATTAGAATTCTTTTAAGAAATAGATAATAAATTAGTTTAGAAAGCTATTAGATATTAGTAAAAAATAAAAATAAAATAAATTTATTTAATACTAAAAAATATTAATTATATTTTTAAAAATACTTTATATTTATATTAAGCTAGTAAGAATTATTTAATTTATTCCTTGAATTATTAAAGAAATCTATTAGCCTCAAATAATAGCTTTAATATAAGAAATATATATAGTTTAATATAAAAGAAAAATAGTAATAGTTTTTTCTTTTTGAAATAAATATTAGAGAAAATACTTATATATATTAATAGCTTAAAATAGATAGTTTAACTATATTATATATATTTAAGGAACTTTAAATAGTATTAGAATAAGAAATAAAAGAAGAAATTTATAGTTTATAGAATTATATTTTTTGATTTTAAAATAATAATAATTATATATTAAATAATTATTATTCTTAATATAAATAAGGTCGGGAAACTTAGTAATATTTTTGAAATATTAAAGATAATAAGAATAAATTAAAGATATAGAAATATTAGCCAAATAAATAGTAATAAGCTAATAAATACTAAAAGAAGTATTTATTTTAATAAATAAAAAAGTAAAAAAGAAAATTAGAAAAAAGCTTAAATAAAGATTAAAGAAAGCTTAAAGAAGCTTAAAAGAGCTTAAAAAAGACTTAAAAAAGAAAGGCAAGAGATAAGAAGAAGCTAGATATAGTATTATAATTAAAGGAAAGAAAGATTAGTTAATAGAAAAAGAAAGGCCTTTTTATAATATCTTTTTCCCAAATAGTAATTATAAATTCAGAACTAGTTCTATACCAGAAATATCTAGAAAATTCTAAAAAAGGAATTTATAAATAAACTAGAAGATTAAATTAACTTTTCTAAGCTCTTAAATTTATAGAATAATAATTTATTTATAACTAGAGACTAAATTGGAATTTATAAACTAATTAGAAAACCGGAAGAGCTTTATATCTAATAATATATATTATATTTATATTATTTTTATAAGAAGAAATTACTAGAAGTGATTTATAAATTAACTAAATAGAGTTAGTAAACTATATTTCTAACTTTATTATCTAGTATAATAATAGGGCAATTATAGGAAGTTTTTAGGAAGAACTAGTAGCCGGGAAAGTCTTAAGAAATTATTTATAAAGCTATTTGTAGTTTTTTTAGATCTTTTAGAAATAAGAACTTAGAAAAAGAATTAATATAATAGATATATATAATAGTATATAGATAGGTATTAGATATTATAGATCTAGTTTCCTATTTTAAATAAAGCTTATAATTAGAATTATATAAGTAATCGGAATTATATAAATTATATAGAATTATATTTTCTAGTTAAGTAAAGGGCTTTATATATTTGGCTAAATACTAGGAAATATATAAGGAAATGCTTCTAGCTTTGGAAAAAGGCATTAATTAATCTTTTATTAGAATTAATTCTTGGAATTAGTTATACTTACTAGTTATATAATAGTTACTTTTATATAACTCTAGCTAGAGCTATTATAATATTTGAGATTCAAAACTATTATGATATTATTTCTAAGTAGTAATAGATCTTTTTTCCCTGACTTTCGCAAGGTATTAGCTCGAAAAAAATCCTGGAATAAAGATAGGAAAGCTTTAGGCAAAGGCAATATAATACGGCTTAGATTTTAGTTCAAGAAATCTTGAATCTTATTGCTATTAAGTTTGCAAAACTAAGAAGAGAAGTTCTCTATAGACTAATTCGGATAGAAAAAGATGTCTTGCAATCTTATAATCCCCTCCCCCCCCTCCCCCCCTTTTTTTTTGAAAGACGAGCAAACTCGGAAAACCTCGCGGATCCTCCATATACCGGAAGACCTTCATTTGAGCCAATACTGGACAATATCGTTTCCCTTCTCGTTTCTGCTATGTTGTGAATATTGCCGGTTGTGGTATTACGAACGGTGTACTGATACATCCCACACGACGGGCAGCGGCAGATCTCTCGGAGCTCAGGCCGGTGGCGGTTGTGAGTGCTGACAAGGATGGGGGAAATGTGTATCACATCGTGTCTTATAAACAAACCCTTCAGAAAATGGTACTGAACCTTCGAACAGACGTTCCGGGTTCTGGTGCGATTTGGAAATGTATTGCGGTAAAGCAGTGTTGTCGGGAATGCCGGGTCACCTTGATCGTTGCCTTTGCTACCATGCCCTTCATGTAACCCATGCTCAGAGCGTCAGACTCAGATTCTGGTCTTAGCAACATTGTGAGTGATCGAGTGCAGAGTCGGGAGACTTGTTTCTGGAGTATTCGTAGAATGTTTCTTCAATGTTGCGTTTCTAGAGAACCTGGATTACCCTTCAAGATATCCAGTTCCTCTTCTGGCGTCTAGTTCAGTCACCATTTCCAAGGCTCTTAAGACTGATATCCCATATCAAGCGCGAAAATTTCACTCTTTTCCCACTATCACGTCCAAACATCGTGATCTGGAATGTTCTCATCAAAATATACCTCATTGACCTCCTTGAACCCAACAACAGGAGCGTCAGATGGCCAAGGATTCCCATTTCCACTCGCAAACAATGCAAAGCTCGCTCCCTCAAAGACAAAGAAGCCTATAGGTGCAAATGCCAACCACGATGACTCAATTTCTGCCATCCATACGATAGGAGTGGTGCCAATTTTGAAGCCGAAAGTGTATTTGGGTGCCTCTGCTCGGATGATGAGAGTGATGTTGTCTGGGATAGTTGTACTGTTCAAGGGAATTTGGTTTGTCTGATGATGCTTGCCGTCAGCAGCTCACTTGATATACATGTGGACAAAATCAGGCCAAAAGGGAAGCTCTCTTACCACAGAAGTGCCATTCATCAACAACGTGCTATAAAAGCACATCCCAGTCTGATTCACGCATCCCCTGATACCGGTATCCTGATGCTGAAACTCGCTCAAGTACGCCGAAATACCTATACTTTGTAGATAGCCGAGTGATCCACTCGCTGGAAGCAATGTCGCTGAGAATGTCATGTTGAGAGATTTTTGTTTTCGAAGAATTGCTGCCGGGGTGTCGCGATCACTTAGCGAGAAGACATTTGGTGAGAATCTCAGGCCGCTCGTCTCGCTGTTCCCTTTTCCATGGTGTCGGTTTGAACTTCGAGGTTTGCCAGTTTCGTAGTTTTGCGTGTACGGGATGCGAAGTTGGTACCAGCTTGGATCGAGCTCGGAAGTGGAGAAAGTATCTTTGAACGGCGGAGGTGGATAATGCTGATCTGGCACGCTGCCGAATGACTCACTCAGAAGGATCGGCTTCCCGTCATTCAGAGTTGGCCATCCATCTGACCACGTCAATGTTGTCAAGAGAGTCTCCCTGCCTGTGTTCGTCAGCTTCGTTCAAACTTCCCAACTTGAAGGTAGGCAATGAAGACACGCACCAAGCGGTGAAGTCCCATTGATCTTTCTCCTCGCCAAGAATGCCGCGTACCAATCCCCCTCAGGTGTCTCAACAAAGGTAGCATGGCCCGTCGACTGAACAGTCAAATTATCAAATCCATAAGCGCCATTGAACAAAATGGGATTATTAGGTGCCGGAGTCCACGGCCCCTGAGGCGAAGACGACCTCGCAATCGTAGCTCGATGCAAATCATCCGTTCCGCCTTCAGCAATGAGAAGATAATAGTAAGAATCCTTATAAAACATCTTGGGACCTTCATCTCGTGCAGATGAATTATGAGGCAAAGTTCCATTCCAGAGACTGATATATTCTCCGATACAATTTCCGGTCACCAAACTGATCTCGCATTGATAGATGCCCCAGATTCGATCAATGTTGTTGTTTGGAGCCATGAGGTTCAGATATATCTTTCCTGAGGTGGGGTCTTGGAACAGGCTTGGGTCGATGCCCCACGGCTCACACCAAATTGGGTTGACCAGGTGATTAGGTCTTTTGATGAGGAGAAATAGACTCGTGGCCAGACTCTGGCAGTTGGATCATAGGTCCAACGAGTCATGGAGGCGAGATAGAATCTCCCGTTGATGAAACTGAGCGATGGCGCCCAAACACCTACCCAACATATTAGCATCGCTCTTTCAGATCATGGAAAGTGTGGCTGACCCGCTCCGGTGGGTACACCATAAAGCTGGGCATGCTCAGGTGTGGCCAATGCGTGAGAATATAGCTCCCAATTCGCCAAGTCTGTGGATCTGTAGATGGGCACGCCTGGAAAATACTCAAACGATGAGGTAGCAATGAAATATTCGTTGCCGACTCGTAGAATACTAGGATCAGGATTCCATCTCAAGAAAAGGATATGTTAGCTTTTTTATGCTTGACATTGGTGAAACTAACCCGGAAACGATGGGATTCTTTATAGCATCGACTATAAGTAGCAACGAGCATAAGAACACAGAAACACTAAAAGGCACCATGATGTCAGGTGAAAACGGGCAAACTTTGACCCGAGAAATGGATAGGCCCCCAAAAGCTGTTGGAGGTTTTGGTGGTGAGGTATGAAAATAAGAAGTGGACAATGGGGCAAGGTAAACGCGTGTCTGCAAGGTTGCTCCGAGAGCTCCCCCGGCACCGTCGTATTTAGTTAAATGGAAGGCAGCCTTGCAGTGCTCGGACTCAACTTCCCCGAATTGATGGCTATAATCTGGAGCCGGGAGTTCAGACAACAGCATGTCACATAAGCAGTACAATTTGCTCTGAAGCGGAATGTTGGACTAAAGGGAAATTCTGTGAATTAAATCGAATGCTAAACAGGACCACAGTGTCATGAAGATAAAGCTGACTCGTTGCTCAATTTATTTTTACTTTTCTAATTGTAACCCGACCACAACTTCCATCCGGAGTTCATTTCATGAAGAATTCAAATTTCCCGTGCCATTAGTACCAATTGTCCCACCACCCCAGATCGTCCTATCATTATGATTAACGAACTGCCCTTTGCCAGGGTAAGACCAAAGCAAATCTCCCCAGCTCGGTTGATCTCCCTGACTGTTTCCGGTTGCTAAAGACGTTAGTTCACTCGAACGGGTATTTGAATCTGGGACTTACGATGCTGTTCGCCACCGGAAGCATCATACACTTGTTTTGCCTTCACGGTCCAGGGGGCATTCAGCCCTCTCTTGACGACGTATTGATAGTAGAGGATCTGTCAAGTTAGCGTTCAGCCATTTTATCATAAATAAATGCACTTACATCCCAAACGCCGGGAGTCTGAGTCGTAGCCGAGGTCTTGCCTAGACCACGGCTGATAGTTGAGGGTGCAGACCAAGGTCCATTGATGAGGATGGCTTCGCAGCGATAGAACTTTGGGTCGTATGGGACGTCATGGCCCAAATTGTACTTTGCGGAGTATTCTGCTGCAGTGAGAAGGAGGTTGTTTCCGACTGAGTAAACATCAGTTCCTTGAGATTGGATTATACGAGCGGCAAGAGCGGTCCAGCCAAGGCCTGACACGGCATGGCCTTGATCTCTGCCAGTTTCGGCTCCTTGACCCGTCTGCGTATCGTAATTGCCGTATATGCCAGCGCAAAGGTCATTCTGATAGGAATTGATCGCATAATTGTACTTTACGCGTTAGAACATCCAAGTGGCAGTCAAGTTTGAACAGTGAACTTACCATAGTAACATCGTCAAGGTATACTGAAAACGCCAAAAGAGCCTTAATGCTAACCATTCCATAATTCGCTTGTCCAATAATGATCGACTGTCGAGCAAAGAGCCAATAAAGCTGATTAGAGAAGCCACTCCCACCAGAGGCCTTCGCGCCCTGCTCCACCCAGCCTCCTTCCCATCTCATGATTTCAGCAGCATTCGCGAACATGTCTCCCTCAAGTCCGACCAATAGCGACGTATCAGTTCCGATGATGCTCGTCAAATTTGTTCCCCAAGCATCAAGGATGGTAGTTGAACGATCCCAGTGGCTTTGGTTCCGGGTTATGTACCACATCATGGCATTTTGGTATGCGGCACGGACATCGTTCGTGAAGGTTGTGTAGTTGCTGCATGAACCTCTGCAGATGATGCTTTTTGGTCCTTGCATCACATACTGTGCATATCAGTAACTTCTTTCCATCCTATCATTGGGACAACATCTCACCGAAGCCTGTGAAAACGAATCTGTACTGAAATTAAGGAAAGCGGTCTTCCACGGGTCCTGTCTATTGGCAACACCGAGTCTGATTCTCTCGAGATCATCGTGTGTATGCCAAAGACCTGGATGAACAAAGTCTCCCACCCTTGACTTCATGCCGTGGACATTGCCGACAGTGGGGATAGGTCCATTGAGGACTGGAAGGCCATTCAGCTGACCGGTAGCAAAGACGGCCTCGGCGAGGAATGCCAATGGGACAATGAGTGTAGTCCACTTTTCATTTATCAGCCCTTTTGACTACAGACGACAAGACTTGGAGACGAGATGATATACTTACCTTCATGATTAAGATCATCAATAGGAAAGCTGAAAGAATTAAGGTAGGGCTCGTCGCTTGTGACCTGCAAACACCAGAGAATCGTTCAATTCAAACATTGATATCTTGCAGTCCTATACTCCTTGCCAAAGACAACAGGGCCCCACTCTGCCGAAGACCGAATGCAGGTCCGGTGCCCGCCGTGCAAGTCGCAAGGGTTCTGCAGGAACCATGATCGTTCGGGTACCCGGCATCTCCCCCGAGATTTGCCCAACGCCGATTGGGGCGGATGACTGTCACTCGTATTATTCGATAAATGCTATGCGGGGGAATTGACGGGGTTGTCGTCCGAACTCCTGACTTTGTATCTTGCTTGATGCAAATGTAATTCCGCGGATCCGGGGGAAATGTAAAACGACCACCCCCCCCCCCCCAAGGTGTCGATTAGGGGAGCGGTGTCCATCGGGGGCCAGACTAGCCACCTACCCAAAGTAGAGGCGCTCGGACAGGAATACTTAAACTGGCTTTTTCTTTCATTCAATTTAATTTTATAAGGAGTTAATATAATTTAATACTTATTTTACTTCCTTATAGCGCTAATTAAGCACTGTTTAAATATATATATTATAAAATTTGAATTAGTAATAGTTCTTTAAATTAAAGAAGTTAAATTTTTTATATTATAGCCTAAATATAAGCTTAAGAAAGCTTAGAAATTTAGCAAATAAGTTCGTAAAACCAGATCTAAGAGTTCTATAAGCCTCTAATTTATAAGGCCCTTATAAGATTAAAAAACTAGAATTAGTATATAAATTCTTATAAATTAAGCTATTATTTTAAGAATTATAAGTTAGGAAGCACGTGATTATAATATAAGGGTTATTATATACTACCTTATACTTATATTAAAAAAAATCTAAGTTAAGATATTTAAAGAGGTTAGGTAGCCAATTACAAGTCGTTGATACCCCTGCACCAATCGACACCCGCGGGGGGTCGTTTTACATTTCCCGACCTTGGTCTAATGGCTGCTCACGTTTGACAAAATGATCCCAATGCCCAATGTGAATAGTCCCCAGATCTTCTTTAGCCCGTACGTCTCGAACTCTGTAACTTGACCCCGCGCTATTTTGTAATTCTGCGATGCCCGACCTCGGTATGGTGATATTCGTCGCGTTTGTGCCTTCATTCAGGGCCAAGATAACATGTCCGAGCCCGCCAGCCCCCAGAGGTCCCGCCCAAACTTATGGATCACCAGAGAGTGTAAGAATCTATGGATTGATTCAAAGTAGGATGCCTCAAAAGTCCATCAGTTTGGGTAGAGGGGGGGGGAATAAAATAAAATAAAAATAAAACTTACAATGATACAACACTTGTTAAAGCATATGATGAGGCAAAATCCGTGGTACTGCAGTTGAGAGATTGTAAGAATCTGTGACAAATTGAGATTCCAGTGTTCCACGAACCCTGGCACACTCTGGTAAATAAAGCATTTCATTACAATAAGGGGCAAGCGCAAGCTTTGGGTACCATCGAACACAGGATCTGTTAAGCAACTCAAGCAAGGAAAATGACCTCCACCATAGAGTCTTCAACACTCACGTCAACCTGAAAGTCAACGTCCCATACCCCAGCTGATCATACCCACCCGAATTCGGTCCATAATTCCCACCACCTCCCTCCCCCCCACCACTCGCATTATTCACAATATCCCTCATCATTCCTGTGTACGTCGCATTCAAATCCTTCAAATCCCTATAATGCGCATACAACAACTCCCACTCCGGCCTCACTGTTCCCCTCGAGCTATTCGAAATAACAGCTTGCGTCACATCACTATTCGTATAGCTCGAATATGGCACATCGAACCCCGCGTTGTATTTCGCACAATACTCACTCCCAGACAGAATTTTGTTGTTCTGGTATGCAAACAAATCGTCCCCTTGATTATACGCCATCTGAGCCAGTGCTCCAGCCAACGCAAAATCAAGCGTTGCGTGTCCCTGGTCCCTCCCAGCTTCTTGCCCTTGTCCCAGAACTTGACCATCAACGATGTAGTTGGTCCAGATAAATTTATCAATATTCCCATTCCCAACACCGGATTTGAAATACGTGATCGCCTCCTCATACATCGTCACATTGTCCGTAAAGATACCAATCGCCAGCATAGAAGCCATATTACACAGATCCCAATTCGCCCAGTAATGATCTGTCGCAGCATTATTATGACGAACCAGAAAATCGTGATTGATGGAAAAAAAGACATCGTGAAGCATGGTTCCAAATGCTGTTTGATTGTTCTTCGTCCAGCCGGAGAATGAACGCATGATTTCCGCCGCGTTGGCGAATTCGTAACCATATATTCCAGCGGCGAGATCAGCATCTGTGCTGCCTTGAATTGAGGTCAAAGTCGAGGACCAAGCATTCAAGATCGTGACAGCGGTATTGGCGAAGGTGATATTTCCTGAGATCTTCCAGCGGAGAGCAAGAGCGTAGGTGGCTGCAATGTCGTTGTATAGTTGAGGATAGTTTTCTGCGTGCACACCGTCGGAGCCACGGTAGATGATAGCTGCTGGCCTGGGTGTGTATGACGCTGAGGCGTGGGAGTTCGAGGTGAGGATGTTCCAGCTGGTGATCCAAGGTGAGGCGCTGGCTGATACTTTGGCGCGCATGCGTGTGAAGTCTACTTCGGTGTGAAGCATGCCAGGATGAACGAAGGCCAACGCATGGCAATGGAGAAGGATGAGAAGAGGGAAGACCTGTTTCGTGAACATCATCGTGGTGGATACGTGGTTGGTCTTTGATCAGGCTCTTGACGGCCAAACACTTACGGGCTTTCGGCATCGGCGCTGATGGGGAAGATATATATCCTCGAACATTGGTAGATAGAACTGCTCGGCGGACTCACGGGCAGGTTGTCGGACTCCTTGGTCCTTTTCGTCATGTCTAATACTTCATCGGATGGCTAGGGATGCAACAAATGGACCAACGAAACGAGATCTACTGTTAAGATGAAACTTTCAAGCCATGCTCCGACGAACCCGGAACAGGACGATCGCAGTCGTTCCAAATCTTGGATGGTCATATAAACGGAACAGTGAATGTCTCCGTGGTGCTGATTGCCCATCTCGAAACGAACGTCCGTGCCAGGGGGGAACATTTGACTCTCCAGTGCCTTTAACCTTACGAGTTACCGAGATTGATCCTGTGACGACTTCAACACTCGAAATGTCCGTCAGAGAACGAAACTATGCACGCAATTTTGAAGACTTCTGTGTAGGTTGACAGGAAATCTCACTTGCACTTCGTCAAACATGCAGGGGCAGCCCAGGGAAGTGCGGGGATCCAGTATGGGGGTGCGGGGTTGTGCGCGAGCTGCCTCAATCGCTGTGTTTCCGATACTTCTTCCGCACTGCTTCCCCGGACATCCCCGGAAGCCCCTCACTTCCTTCTCGCCAAAATGGCCGCCGCTCCCAGACCTTCCATCATACTATCTCGAGGAGGATTAGCGATCGTCCAGGATTTCTCCGTGATGCTCGGAGTCTGACCTTCAGATCGCTCCACTGAGCCAGGCGGGGTAAGCGTCGGCGTCTCCAATCATTTTGAATCGAAGCCAAGTGATGCCAGAATCTAATGTGACATTGTGTTGGGAGAGATATTCCAGTGAGTATATTCAAGCTGCTCGACATGACTAGAAGATAATTTCAAACCACGTTTCACAGCCTTTGACAATTGCTTCCCCAATCTAAGATGTCCATCAAGGATCTTCTTAGTCTTTGCCTTTTCGTTGTCACCAGCTGCGCTCATGGCGTCAACATCGACAAGTCTTTGGTACGATCGTATCCTCGCAACGAGTCAGCTCAGATAGTGACCTATCCAAAACCAACCTTACTGGGCAACAACACCTCATTTTCAGTCAAAGCCCGTTCTCCTGGAGGGAACTGGAAGGCCCTTGATATGTATCTGGTCAATCTCAGCCTGATCAACACCACGACTGGATCAAGCGCAACGCAAAAGTCATCCATGGCATATTTTGACTTTTGCGGAACCGTCGAAGTCTCTGTGACCTACAATACCGCTCCCATCACCACAGCTGTTATCCGGCCATATTCCTACGGGTTGCTTCCCCAGATCTCTGGTAACAACACTGTGGCTTTCACCCTAGACAAGCCTCAAAATGTCATCGTCCAGGTCAACGACAATATTTTCGACTGCCTGCATCTGCTGAGCAGCACAATCGATACCAACGTCCCGTCGGAGAACTCAACAGATGTGATATACTTTGGACCCGGAGTGCACAGTGTTGCAGGAAACGTGTTGCAGGTACCCAGTGGAAAGACAGTCTACATCGCGGGTGGAGGTGTTCTAACTGCTACCCTCAACTTTTCCGGGGTCCATGATGCAGGCTTGAGTGGTCGCGGAGTGCTGTACACCACATCTGGAGGCGCAATTGTCGTGGAGTACTCAAAAAATATCACGATCGATGGTGCCATTACTGTCCTCAATCCAAATGGGTACGCGATCAGCTCGGGACAGGTCGACGGTTTTACTATCCGAGGACTTCGAGCATTCAGCAACAAGGGAAACGGTGACGGCATCGATCTATTCTGCTGTCAGAACGCCATCTTAGATGGGCTTTTCATGCGCAACTCCGACGATTGTATTGCCCTTTACAACCACCGCTGGAACTACTACGGCAACTCAAGCAACATCACAGTCCAGAACTCAAGCCTTTGGGCTGATGTTGCCCATCCCACCAACATCGGTACTCATGGAAATACAGACAATCCCGAAACTATGGATGGTGTGACCATCAGGAACATCGACGTCCTTGATCACAGAGAGCCGCAAATGCTGTATCAAGGTACCATCGCAATAAATCCCGGGGACAGCAACATGATCCAAAATGTCCACATCGAGGACATCCGAGTTGAAGATTTTAGGATTGGACAACTGATCAACATGCGCGTGATGTTCAATACTAAGTACAACACCTCGCCAGGGCGAGGGATTTCGAACGTGACTATCAAGAACATGGTCTACAACGGCACTCACGCAAATCCTTCTATCTTGGAAGGGTACGACAGCGACAGAAGTATTGACTTCGTCACGTTTGAAAATCTAGTTATTAATGGGAAACAAATTGCTGATACGATGAAGAAGCCGACCTGGTACGAGACATCTGATTTCGTGCCGATGTTCGCGAATGACCATATCAACAATTTGACATTCCGTGCGACTTGAGTACAAAGTATGTAGAAGAGAGTAGAGTTTCGCACATTGGAAGAACGATTACTTTCTGTTTCCGACATGGAAGGGGGTGCGCAGACGCAAAGATGTGGAAAATGAGATAGTAAAGCGAAATATAAAAACTTAGCATATTCATCCATGAAAGGATCTGGAACATGGGCTCCCAATCTGGTATGCAAAATGAAATGAATTCTAACTTTGAGACTGCTGATCGTTGCTATATAAGAATGAATCGCACGGTGGTTCGTAGCTCCGTCTTGTATACAACGTCTTTATCGGAAACCATGGGTGTATTAAATAATAAATTACTAGTTAGATTACTAATTACTCTAACAAATGTGTCTCGTGACTCAAACCAAAAGAGTGCCAAGGAAGTCAAAGCAGTATACCATATTTCAATAGTGAGTTCAGAAATAGAAGATCACGTGCAATAAGTTACCTTTTTACCACACTGAAAGTATGCCAAAGACACCAAAGGCTGTTGTGGTACGGCAAGCTGTAATCCATTAAAATCGCTTTGTTTTGGTAGTTTTGAGGTTTTGGTCACATGTCAAAGGCTGGGGCCTTTCGCACGTGACTTGCGGGAATCACATAAGAAAGCTGGCTTTTCTGTAGTTCTAGAGAATAATCCCTCCTTCATATCAATCAATTGAGCTTTTGCAAATTGCACACTGTTTATGCTTTACTGCTTATGCCCTTGTTCTTGTTGTTTTGCTGTCAAGTCACGTTTTGCGCTCTGGTGTACTTTATGTAGGTTTTTGTCTTGTGGCACTTTCCCTCCCACAGTAAGCTTGAGTTTATCTTCAGACGACACCTAGATTTTGACTCTATTATTTACTTATATTCCCCAGATATCTTCTTGATACTTTGATCACGTGCTCCTGTTCTGCCATACTGTGATCCCTCCTGCTGCCCTCCGACAGTCTCCAACTGTTACAGATTACAATATAGTAGAACAAGTATCAAGCGGCAATATAAGTAGATTACTGAGTTAGAGTACAAGTTGGTGTTCCAAGATAAAAAGATTCGAGCTTGTCCCTCTAAGGAGGTGACTAGGTCCAGTATATATATTAGGGTTTTCCTCTCAATCGGAGTTCTTCACCAAGACGGAGGTCTCCACCTCTTGTCCCTTGGTACCTAGGCACTCCTTGTTACAATGAACCATATGATTTTTTTTTTTAATAATAATACGACTTTTATTCTATTCTTATCAACTTCTTTTCCGCCATCAAAATTTCCATTCTCAATTTGTCTTTATACCCACCAGTGTCTGGCGTGATTAACCCAATTCGCCGGGCTATAAGAGAGCAGAGATCCACTAACATCCAATATCCCTCATCAATTTGTTCTGAGTTAAGCGAGGTCTCCCTCCAGAACAATTTGACGGCGTCCCAAGGTTGGGATTCAATCTTCGATAAAATGTCAGTATCTCCGCCATCAATCACGCCTTGACTCGAGATGGTTAACAAAGAAGGTGTTGGTGAGGTCTGATCTTGTATCGTGTTGTTTGGAATGTGTATGGAATAAATTCCCGCCTTTTCTGTCAATCGAAGCCACACCTTGGCGACGTATGCTTCTATCAAGAGATTCTTTCCGTACTCGGGAATTATAAACGCTCTTCTTTCCAGAGAACTCTTGAAAACCTCGACAATTCTTAGCCGCTTGTGGTTTTCATCTTCTACATAGAAGGCAGAGCATTCGTAGGTGCGAAAATACACCGCGTAGTCTTTATCTTTAGTCTCAATCTGGTCAGCCATGCTTGTCCAGGATCATGTAGGGAAATCTGCACGACGACGGATTGGACCTCCTCCAGGAGGGAGCCTTTTACCGACCCAAGCCAGGCCATAGGCAAAAGCACACTCCGAATCAGCCGCCGAAACCTCCTCGTGGATATGCAGCGGTGAAAGGAACTCCCCAGTACATATATTCCTTCCAAGAGGCGATGATGCCCTTGAAAGCATTCAGTATATCAGAGTCATAAGTCAACGATCGACTGGTGTTTTCTTTGATGTGCTCATAGAAAAAAGGCTGGAGGTGGTTTGACATGGCAAAATGGATCTGTTCCGAGTAATTCATGAGCCTAGGTTCCAGAGTTTCTCGAATTTTATCTTGATGAACAATTGGAAACTGTTCCACCGCTTCACCCCTAAGATGTGTCCTGCATGCAAAATACACCTGGTTCTCGGTAAAGAAGAGACAGCTTCGAGATAGTAGGGCCTCTTGGTATGTCCAACCTCGCGTCACCCAAGTAGAAGACAAAAGGGGATGGGACACGTGTGGGAACGTAGAAACTAGAATGCCGGCATTTGTGTGAAGGCTAAACTGTGCGCGTCTTGGACACGACACTCCTCTGAGTCCAGATTCTGCGCCATCAGCATCTGCAGCGACGATAGTGGTTAGCGCGTTCCGGTAAATTTGGTCCATGTTTTGAATTTGCAAATGCTTGTTTTCTGATTGCCATATGCAGAATCGATCGACCCAGAGATATCGCTGGCCTAAGTTTCGAACGGCTGACATGGCATCCTCGATGGTTTGTGGAGCATGTGCTGGTATGGAACAGCCATGCTGCAGTGTTTAGTAGGTTGCAATATCAGTTGCTTCGTTGCCCCAAACATAGCTGAGAGCCAAATATTCAAGGTCTTGCGCCAAAGGGACAATTTGCCTGGCCCAGCAATCTGTCACACGCGTCGCAAATTCTATCTTTCGAGGCAGAGACCTGCAGTGATAATGGAGATCTGATTCCGAATTATGGCACTCCTCTATCCACGAGGCAATTCGAGTGAAATTCGCGTGAATATTAGACACAAGTCGCTCACTGTAGCTGAATGGAAAGATCGTTGATTCTGTCAGGGAACAGTCCTGCGCGAGAGGCACGATCAAGCCCCAAGCTGACAGCCTCGTTCAACTGGCTCCTCTGCAACGTTCGAGTTGATCGACCTCGAACGACGGCCACCACAATACTCGGGTTTGCCGTGACGCGTGCCTCTGTACATCGCAACCTCAAAGGCAATAGACTGTCCAATGCTCTAAGGTGATACTCGGGTGCCGAGATGGCGGATGAGCTGGAGTCTGATTTATGGTTTACAGGCGCTAGCAGAGAAGTGACGAAAGAGCAAAGGACGCATCCAGGATCGAAATCATTCCTAGTCTTGGTTATTGCAGCCCCTTGCCGACCAATCTGGGCGCTGGACAGGGCAAAGACAGCCTCGAAATTGATCGTTTTACATAACGAGCATAATTGACTATAATTAGATAATAACGCGCCAACTTTTAGAGGTCTCCGAGGCGCAGCTACAGTAAGAATAGGGGGGCACGGGCGGCGTTTGCGCTCGACTACTGTATTATTTGCAACTTCGATTGTGATCAGCCATTATAGTCAGCGGAAGACGAGATCTGGCGCGAGGAGAGGTCCTGCACCAACCAACCGAGAGCGGCGCCTGGCTCGTGCGCGCGCCCTGCCCAATGCGGCGGATCGCGGTTTCCGCATGCGGGCTTGCCGTCTGGTCGTTTACTTATTTAATTACGTATATTATAACTTCCTTAATAATAAAGATATTATAATTTTGAGACTATAGAATTAATTCCTAGAGTATATAATATAGATTTAATTAATACGATTTATATTAATTAATATTATAGTGGTTTTTTTTTATTTTTATTGCTTTTGAATCAGACTAACTATATCCCAGATTACCTAGGTAACTAATACTTGTTTATGAGACTGCACCATCTCAAGTATTGGCACTTGCTTCCCGCCTATAAGTAGTCTTTCCCAATTAGTGTCTTGTCCGTATGGCCGATCTAACAGAGCTGGTTGAGCCAAGACGTCTGGAATATTGGCACCTTGTATATGCTCGGCTACCTGGGCGAGCGATAATAACGGGCGAGAGTTACCATCTGCTATGGCCTCTTCCTGTTCTTCTATGTAGGTTTGTCGCTCTATCTGAGACAGCAGAAAATTTGTAGCTGATCATCGTAGCTTGATGGTTTCCGGATCTACCATTTAATCCAAGGTGTCTAACTCGTCTTCATCCACGCTCAGTATAGCAGCAGGCGATTGACGTTCCTGAGATCTGAGTACCGCTGCAGCTTCCGTGGACCCCGCCTGTCGTACGCTCTGATCCGGTGCAGAGAGCAACGTAGCACTGTTATGGCTCGGTTGGAGGCTCCTTGGGTCGTCATTGTCGTATAGCGTGAAGTCGTTTAACCATCGAAAGAGTGGATCAAGTTCTGCCGTCGGTGGAAGCCGCACTTCTCGCCTCGCCTCAGCCGGGTAGGCATCGTCTTGACCAATGACTGGCTGTGTTTGACGGATAGCGGTCTCTACAGACTGCAGGAGAGGCCCACCGGTATATGTGCCAGTACGCTGACTGCTCCAAGCCTCCAAACTCGCTCCACCACCACTGTGATTGAACGCGGTAGACGGTGCCAGTGATTGATTGCTCTCTTCTCGGAGCAACGACTGAGGCGTTCAGATACTGCCCTCCAACATTTACAAGACTAGCTGTGGCCGTATAGTTCTCAGGAGTCGGAGACTTTACCCATCTGACCTCACTGTCGTCCGACTTCTGACGCAGCGCTAACCCGTATACGGCTCCAGATACTTGCGAGTCGGAGTCGAGGGGTTAGTGAGCAGCAAGAGGCGTGTTGCTAAGAATACTAAAATAAAAAAAATACTATCTTATAAGTAATTCTAGTAATATTACTAAATTAAAATAAATATATAATTATTAAAATATTAAAAATATTATAAAGTATTAATATATAATTTCTTTAATTCTCTAGAATTAGAAAAGGAAATATATAAACAGGAATTAGCTCTCCTATAATTAACTGTTTATTAATTTAATTAATATTTTATAATTATGGCATTAATTATTATTAATTCCTAAAAACACTAATTATTGCCGAGCTTACTTAGAGACCAGAATCGGCTCCCAAGGAGCCAGAATGGGGTAAGGACTTTGTTGGTAAGTTACGTGCCGAGTCACATGACCTTACAGGTCTTCGACGGAGTCAAATCCCTCATTATGGTTTGCGCTTCTTAAAATGCCTGGATTCCTGTGCTAACGCTCCGAGGAAAAAGAGCGGGCACAAGTCAAGCCAAGTTAGCCCTCCAGACTTATCTTGCTCTGCTTATTGGGAACATTGTGTCAAAGTAAGTAGCGTGTGGGAAGGAGAGGAGAGAGGAGAGCTTGGTGTGGGACTCGAGCTTCTACATCTCACATCCGAACTTGCGACCTTCGGAGAGCTCCTGGCAAGAAAAGATTTGAAACCAAGACCAAAAGCAAGGACATTCCCATTGCATAGCTATCTCGTACTTAGGACGACAAGGAACGACGCTAAGAAATTCCATAACCCTCTCTGGCACACCCCACCCAGATCAGCGCATGCGCTCAAGCCCCTGCAGGTAAAGTCTGCAACATGAGTTGTCCACAGCTGTGCGGGATTATGGGGAGCCGGTGAGCCATTTGCCAGTGTTGAATGTATAGGAAGAGGTCTTCGAGAACAGGCCCGACTTCGGATCCGGCTTTGAGTAGTCGCCAACCTCCTTCGTGGTGTCAGCCGTGCTGATCATGGTCGACGTCTTCATGCCCTCCTCATACCACCACTGCAGCTGCTCCTGTGGCTGATACGACGCGGACATGTTAGGCCCAAGTTCGGTGGGATCGACGAAGATGGGGTCGAACGCGCCGGGCGAGTTCTGAACCCCGACAATGATGTGAATGCCGTTGGTGACGGTGCCAGATTTGAACTTGTTGTTTCCGATGGCAAGGAAGTCGATCACAGGTTGGGAGGTAGATTGGGTCCATTGGCCTGTCTCGTCGAGGTCGATGACTTGGCCGAGGTCGCACTGCCTCCACAAGCCTCCTAGAGTGACTTGGAGGCCGTCGGAAGGGATATCCTAGTGGTATTATTTAGATGTGGTTGCGAATAAGTAGCTTTGGGTTCATTACCATTGTCCAGTTAAGGCCATAGATGGGCTTCCATTTGACGTTGATTCTTGGGGCGAGAACCTTGGACTGCCAGACGATGTTGAAGATGACTGTGTAGGCCATTAGTTCATGTTTTCAACTTGAATCTCTAGCGGCTCACTCTTATCGCCCTTTGCAACACTCTTTGCCACTTGAAGATTATAGTGGTTCTGGGCCAGAGCAGTCAGGTCTGGTCCTTGGTTGACGACTGTAAGCGAACGGGTTTCAGTACCCATTTTGGAATGTGTCTTGTGTCCTTTGTTGAAATCGCTAGAGAATGATGATTTTGGATTGGGATATGGAAATGGGGTGGTGGTTTGGATTGAGGATGATGTTGAAGGTGCTGTGAAAACCGGGAGACATTGCCTCCTTAAATATTCGTGAGACTACCTCTATCCTTCATTATAGAACTCAGAGCGGGATCAATTCGACACGGATCCCCAATTCTGCGTCGAATGCCGTAGAGAGATTAGAAAGGGCTGGCTGCGTTTCACAACGGGAAGAGCAAACTCTGAATATCCAACGCAAGCCTCGAGAATTTGTCCCACATCATAATTTTGCAATTGGCAAGTTCCAGGGTTACTGAAGCTCAAAATTGAAGAATGAGCGAGTTATGGGTTAGCAGCACCTTCTTCTGGACTTCGAAGGCTGGCTGAAATGTGTTGAATCGAAGTCTAGATCGAAGTGTTATCCTCGGCGCTACCGAGGTGTGCAGGTCGTGGGCCCCTGATGGTCGTGTCTCCAGTTGACGTGACAGACACAAATGATAAATGACAGTCGACAGCCATTGGACAAAGGACGGGCATGCAGAAATCCACAACATTCAGAATGTGTTGTGGGCTGAAGTCAGCCAGCCAAGAAGGACACAGATGGTCCTTCTTTATCGTGGGCGGGGAAAGGCGACACCTAGAAAGCTGAAACCCGTCTTCAATCAATTATAAGAGAGTTTCATGCAAGGGCATGTCATCGCTCAGAGATTGGAATATGTCTTAGTCCTGTTATACAGTAGTCCCATACCCGTGGATGCCATCGGCTGGGACACCCCTACTCTATCTTCTATCGTCATTTGGAGGAAAAAGTCAGATATTATGTTGCAGGAAGATGATCAGTTGGCTAAGTTGTACCCCTAATGCCGGTCAGGTGTCATATCTCGCCTTGTGAAGTCGTACTCCTGCCTTATACACCCAGCCGCATGCTTGTGGAGTTAGCTAGACGGGACTGTCCGGCCACTAAAACTCGAAGAAGCCAAGTGCCGATGCCGAGACACGTCCTCGGGCTGGGGTGCTGGTCAGTGGCGTCGAGAATCATCGAGGAGCTGGAGTTGATTAGACGGGACTTTCCGGCCACTAAAACTCGAATAAGCCAAGTGCCGATTCGGTTTGCGTCCTCAGGCTGAGTTCTGGTCAGCGGCTGGCGCCAAGAATCATCGTAAGAGCTGAGATTAACACTACTTTGTCTTCTGCTGTATACTTTTCTCTGTGTCCAAGCAGAGAGCGGAATTCATTGAGCATCAATAGCGACAAGGTGCAACTTGTGGATTACATGAAGCAGTTTAGCCCTTGAGCTGGGAACTTTGTTTTTTCAGTGGCTTGCTACATCCCAGCGGAGATTTCGCTTCCTAGAAATTCGCAATCCCATGAGGCTTGCGTCGCTGGCCTGCTGATCTCTGCACCTCTCAGCCAGCATCATGTGCTATCCCTGTGCTATCCCTTCGTCCGGTGAGACATTGCCACATTAGCGGCCGCACATGAATATCCCTAATACTATTCAGTGCTCCATTACATAGTAATGGAGTTTTTTTATATGGGCTGACATAAGTAAAGTAGTCTGTGCCACTGTTATCTCTATTACTATATAATAGAGAACTTTTAAATTTTTGCAGGGGTTAAAAAGTACCTGATTTCGGTACTATAAACACGTCAGAATATAGCAAACTACTGCCACTACTACTACTACTAGTATATATATCATATATAGTATTAAATATTATATTTAGTAAGTACTATATTTTAGCTATAAATATAATTATATAGTACTAGCCGAGTTTGTATTAAGAAACATATACTTGAAATATAAGAGTAAAATTATATAAGTATATAAATAATTAATATATAATAGTATTACTAGTACTAATTTAATTATTATTAGTACTTATTTATATTACTAGTAATAATAAAAGAAATATAAAGAAGTCTTTAAATTTTACTTTTACTATTTCTAAAATAAGACTTACTAGTAATAATAACTAGGGTATTTTCTAATATTACTAATATTTTCTAAAACCCGAAAACCCAACTTATAAATACTTTCTAAATTACTCAAATTACCTAAACTATTATCTAAACTATTTCCCAGAAAAAAAACCAATTCAAAAAAAAAAACCTCTAAAAAAAACCTACTAATACTAGTACTAGTATTACTTGCTTATAAATACTAATATATAAGCAAGTATAAGTCCTAGTTAATTACTAAGTAAAGTTATATTATATTTATATTTTAATATAGGCTATAGAAATTAATATCTTAGAAATTAGTAATAATAGTATTAAATATAATAATACTATTTCTAATAAGATTATAATTAGTAATATAATAAAAAATATAGCTATAGTAATTAAAACTAGTAATATTATATTATATATTAATAATAAAATTAGAAATAAATATATAATATATTTCATTATTATATTAAGTATTATTACTATTATTATAAAAACTATAAGAGCTATTATTACTATAAGTATTATAAGAACTACTAGATAAAGTATTATTATATAAATAAGGTTTTTAAAATAATATTAGTAATAAATTTTTTTTCTTTTTATTATTATTATTATAATTCTTATTATTAAAGTTAAAACTTATAAATTTATTACTATTATTATTATTAGAATTAGAGCTTAATTTAATTAATTTTTTATAAATACTATTAGTAAGAAAAAATCCAGATCTAGTAATAATAGAAATAATAAAATAATAAAGAAAAAAACTAGTAAAACTAGTAAAATAATTATTATAATTTAGTAATTTATATTAATAATACTAGTAATAAAAGAAATAAAAACTACTAGTTATATAAGAGTAATTTCCTAATAAAAAACATATATATATATCTTATTTAGGTTTATTTTATTTTAGTATTTCTCCGAATTCTATTAAGAAATATTTTAATAAGAAATATATTTTTATTTTCTTATATATTATTTAGTTATATATTTTATTCTTATTATTTTCTTATATATTATTATTATTTACTATAGCTAGTAAGCTTATTTATAATTTCTTATATTAAGTTCTAGTTTATAAATAATATTAAATATATATTATTTCTAGTATTATTAATATTAAATAATACTTATAAGCCTAATATTATTTAGTACTTTATTACTATATAATAGAGTTTTTTTATATAGGCTAATATAAGCAAAGTAGTCTATACTATTACTATCTCTATTACTATATAATAGAGAACTTTTAAATTTTTGCAGGGGTTAAAAAGTACCTGATTTTGGTACTATAAATATATTAGAATATAGTAAACTACTACTATTACTACTATTACTAGTATATATATTATATATTATATTAAATGTTATATTTGGTAGGTACTATACTCTAGCTATAGGTATAATCATATAGTACTAGCCGAGTCTGTATTAAGAGATATATACCTGAAATATAAGGGTAAAATTATATAAGTATATAAATAATTAATATATAATAGTACTACTAGTACTAATTCAATTACTACTAGTACTTGTTTATATTACTAGTAGTAATAGAAGAAGTATAGAAAAGTCTTCAAATTTCACTTTTACTACTTCTAAAGTAAGGCTTACTAGTAGTAATAATTAGGGTATTTCCTAATATTACTAATACCTCCCAAAACCCGAAAACCCAACTTATAAGTACTTTTTAAACTACCCAAATTGCCCAAACCACTGCCTAAACCACTTCCCAGAAAAAAGGCCAATTCGAAAAAAAAACCTCTAAAGAAAACCCACTAATACTAGTACTAGTATTACTCGCTTATAGGCACTAATATATAGGCAAGTACAAGTCCCGGTTAACTGCCAAGCGAAGTTATACTATATCTATATTCCAGTATAGGCTATAGAAATCAATATCTTGGAAGTTAGTAGTAGTAGTATTAGATATAGTAATACTATTTCTAATAAGGTTACGATTAGTAATATAATAAAAGATATGGCTATAGTAATTAAAACCGGTAGTAATAGTATTAGGAAAGTTACTAGTAATATTATACTATATACTAATAATAATTCTATTATTAGTAATAGGGTTAGGAATAGGTATATAGTATATTCTATTACTATATTAAGTACTACCGCTACTACCATAATAATTACGAAAGCTACTACTATAAGTACTATAAGAGCTATTACTATTATAAGTATTATAAGAGCTACTAGACAAGGCACTACTATATAGACGAGGCTCTCGAGATAGTATTAGTAGTAGATTATTCTTTTTCTTATTATTATTATTACTATAACTCTTATTATTAGAGTTAAAACTTATAGGTTCATTACTATTATTATTACTAGAACTAGAGCTCAATTCGATTAGTTCTTTATAAGTACTACTAGCAGGGGAAAATCCAGATCCGGTAGTAGTAGAGATAATAGAATAACGGGGAGGGGGGCCGGAGGAACTAGTAGAATAGTTACTGTATTAGTAGTATTAGTAGCGGAAGGGATAAGGACTACTAGTAATAGGTTTACTATTAGTAATACGGAATATAGAGCAAGTATAGTATCTATAGCTAGCGAGATAAGTAGTCTAGCCGGCAGAGGCAGAGGCAGGGCAAGAAGATCCAGTAATAGTAGATAGGCCAGATCTAGTAATAGTAAATAGGCCAGATCTGGAAGTAGTAGATATATTAGATCCGGGAGTAATAGAGAGACCAGATCCGGGAGTAATAGAGGGAGTAGCAGGGGCTAGCTAGAAGACTTGCAAATTACTAGGAGTATACTCCGGGAAGAAAATATTATAATACTAGTTTTGCCAAGTATAAGTAATAGAGTAAATATTAGTAATACTATTAAGGAAGTAGTTATAAGCTATATTAACTTGACCTATACTAGAAAAGGCAATAGTAGTAGCAGGGAAGCGGATAAGTATAGCTTTATATTAATACTTAGTAGTATGTTTCTTTATCTTTTTAATATTATTAGTAGTAATTATATTACTACTAGTAGGATTAAGGCCAAGG